TATAAAAATTGGAAGAAATGATGTTCAGCGCAAAGAATGTGAAAGGTAGGGACGTTCTGCGCCAAAAAAGAAAGATATGGACGTTTTCGACAAAAACCTTCAAAGGTATGGACGTTTTGCGCCAATAACCCCAAATTTATTGTCCTGAAGTTTAAAAGTCAAAACTCTCGGATTAAGATGGTCTAAAAATTTTCCTAATGAGAACATAGTCGACTATTCTTTCCCACTTTACTAAAAGATTTGTAACTGCTAAATATGTTTGGCCTCCGTTTTTTAAAACTAATTTTGTGAAATCGACAACTTTTATCGTATGTTAGATTTGAAATGTTGTTTCCTTCTAGCTCGAAACTCAACCAAATTTCTTGTAAACCCCAAATATTATTGTCAACCCAAAAATGACACATTTGAACACAAAGTATTGTTTCCCAAGTATTTCAAATTTGCACTTTAGTCCTTGATCGATCGTCTAAGCTTACCGAATAGGTATCAAAATCATGTTTTCAAATCTACTATGAATATAAAATTCTTATAACTACTATTTATCATAAGTTAATAAATTTCTCAGCTAAGTCCATGGAAAATAAAAGGTGTTCAATTAAGTGTTCAAACTTTCCACTTTCTTCAGTAAGGTCCTAAATGAAAATATACAAACTATCAAACTATAGCAGGTGACTGAAAGGACCATTTCCACACCCAAACTTTAATATGGAAATGTGCAGACTGAAGGGTATGTTTGTTGGAATTAATGGTTAATTTACATGATTTAAATGTGTGAATTGGAAGTCTTCACATGATTTGATTACTAGACACGACTCTTCAAATGCAAATGGTGCATATTAAAGAGTTGTTTCGAATGGATGTGGCCTTTTAATAAGGCGCAATCTAGATCATCAATTTTGAAATTGTGTGATCTAATTGTTGGAATTAATCTTGTCAAAAAGATGCGATCAATCGAAGAGATACATGAAAATCTATAAATATATATTTAGTTTCATTTTTTTCCTACTCCAAATCAATTCTTAATAATAAATTTCTAATTCTTGCTTTCTCTAAATTCTGTCAAAATAATTTCCATATTATTTTGTGTTTCATGTTCAATATTTATTATTTGATATCTTCCATTTTAGAAGAGTACAGTCAAGTATTGGTTCGTCCAATAAAATTAATAGTGTGTTATATTAATTTTGGAAGAAATGTTTGTTATTGTGAGACAGACGTCCATTTGATCTTGTTAGCACTAGTACATGTTGTGAAATCCGTCTTAATGAGATTTGCATTCACATAACTCATTTCATTTTATCTCTTTCGATTTTTACATTTTCTACATTTTAGTAAGTATTGATTTGTTCATTATTATACATATGCTATGATTCGATAAGTCGTTACTCTACTAGTTGCTTGCACGAATTTTTTATTAACGGAATATTATTCATACACTAATTTAACCAACAG